TGAGTACTGCTATGCTAAGTGCTACTAACAAGGGTTATATAAAAAGTAGCAAACATCGGAATGTCGCCTAGAAGTTGTTACCAGAAAGAAGAATGTCTAGAGATTGAAATTCGGTAGTTGTCGACTACCTGGTTGGGGTCCGCGAGATGATAATAATCGATGGTTAGATACCCTGAATGACATCGCTCAAAACCGTTTGCAATGGCGACGGTGCATTTATTCTTTGTGTTCTTTCAAATCCTAATCTTCTGGATTCTTCAACACCTCTAGTTTTGACTTTCTAAACTTTTCTCACTTCTTGAATAATATTTTCTAATCCTAACCTCTCCGATTACTTCTAATACCTTTACTACCTCTACTACTATTGAATTTGAATTGACAATTACAGCTGTGTGCTGATGTGGTATGGCAACATGAACTGATGTACTTACGTACAAAGTTCTACGTTGCATCTGACTGGGCGATTGAAATGCACGGTGTGATCAGAGTATTTTAAAGATCAGAACAGGAGTGACAGAAAACAGTCATTAGCATTCTTAGATTACAAATAAATGATTGAAGACTAAGTGTACGTGTTTCGTGAATAAACTGTTATTTTCGAGTATATAAATATATTTTGCATGTGTTCACTAGTGACTAGCTCCGTGAGGAATCTTCTCCGAGTTCTAGTGAGAACTCATGGCCAATGGAGTTCAACCCTGTCCGAATGTGAAGCAGTGATCACTAAAGACAGTGAATGAGGTTGGACAAGACAGAGAATTGAACGAGGTTAGACATTATAACATCGTTAGATACCGGCTCAGTGGTCCAGAGGTTAGGCGTTCGGGCGCAAGATCGAAAATTCCGGGTTCGAACCCTGCAAGTTGTGAGAGTCATCGATACGCACTGCTGATAAGTCTCATACCAGGACCAAACGGCCAACCAGTGCTTCGAGGTTTCTAATGGTGACCTAACATTGATCAATTCATGATTTCGAGAAAATATACATATATACTCCATCTGTTCAGGGATTTTTCGTATAACTACACTACAATGCTAACCTTTCAACTAATCTTATGGATTCTTCAGCACCTCTACCTTTGTCTTTCTAACCTTATCTCACTTAATTATGCTTCTTGAATAATATCTTCAAAACCTAGTCTTCTTCATTACCGTTAATACCTCTTCTATCTATCAACATGAACTTATGTACAGACGTACGTAGTTCTACGTTGCAACTGACTGACTGACTGACTGACTGACTGAGTATATTCCATATATTTGTAGATACTTGCTTAATATCAACAAACTAGTGTAGATCTAGCTAACGTTTCAATTAATCAGAAAAATAATAGGAATAACAACACGACACATTACATTGTTTTATAAATGCTACAAGATGGTAATTGCATTTTCAGTCGGAACAAGATAATTAATTCCCTTACTAGAAAAATAAAAACTAAAACGATTATAAAAAGGCTTATACATTTATTGATGTGTTACATATGAGGTCAAATTACAATAATAAATAATTATCGATTAGTACTGTTTTTTGCCTATATGAGAAAATAGGCATAATTTTACAGTTTATTATCATGTTAATTCAAACATTTGTAGTAGTAATTATCTAGGCAGTTAGTTAGTTGTAAGAAGTTTTTTCCACATTCTATAATACTAATCCAATAGACATGCAATCAGCTAAAGTAAGAATAATCGATATATTTCGTGGTTTCTTGTCAGCTGCTGATTACAATCATATATATATCACATAACATTAGAAAAGTATGTACAATGATTGTTTTTTTTTACTGATGAATATCACACTATGTTTAAATTGTGAGTAGCTGACGCGAAACCGTGAATTGAAGACAGACAAACAGATACAACGCAGAACTTTGTACGTAAGTACATCAGAGTTGCCATCAGGTTGCCATACCACACATCAGCACAGAGACGCAACTATCAGTTCAAATCCAAGAGTGATAGCAATAATAGAAGTATTAGCAGTAATGGAGAAGATTAGGGAGTGAAGATATGATCCGAAAAGTATAATTCAGTGAGATTAGTTTAGAAGGAGAAAGGTAGATATTATGAGGAATGCAGAAGGTTAGAATTAAAAGGCACACAAAGGGTGGATGCACCTACACCATTGCAAACGATTTTGAGCCATGTCGTTCAAGGTCTCTAACCATTGGTGACAGTCCACTTGTCAGTGACTTCATGGATTTCTGCCATGTTTTGGTTTGGTCACCCCTAGCTTTCTTCCAACCTACTCCTACACCACAAAACATAGCTCGTCGAGGCAGTCGGTGGTTAGGCATTCGTAACACATGTCCCAACCACCTCAACTGATGAAGTTTCACGACCGCATCCATTGATTTGCCATCCCTACCTAGAACTCGTTTACTAACGACAGCATTGCTGATACGGTCGTCCCATGATATATGAGCACTGCTTCGGAGACATCGATGATCGAAGACTAGTAACCTACGAAAGTCCTCTACTCTTAACGGCCATGTTTCGGATCCGTATAGTAGGACAGAGAGAACTGCTGCGCAGTACACTCGTCCTTTAGTCAGCAAACGGATATCTCCGCCTGCACCATAGGTGACGCACGTTGGCAAAAGCCAATCGAGCGTTCTGTATCCGTGCTGAGATTTCGTCAGTTTCCAGGCCATCAACACTGATGAGACTCCCCAGATAAGTGAAGCGGTCTACTCCTTCGACTACTTCACTTCCTATCACTAGTTCAGGTGCATTGTTGCTTATGGTAGTCAGAAGACTCTGCATTTTGTCAGCGTCTTCACCAAGTAGGACTATGTCATCGGTATATTCCAAGTCAATAAGCGATCCTCTTGATAGAAGGAGAAATAAAGACGAATTCAAGTTACTCTTCTATGTTAATGGTTCTGGTTTTATTTTAATTTAGTTAATGAGAAAAATTATGTGAAGGATTCATCATTTGACAAACAATACCATTTATGTCATCTCTTGTATCAACCACGGTATACCAAAAAAAGCTCCTTAGCTTTAGAAACATTTTCAACATACTACTACTACTACTACTACTACTCTGTCTAGTCAATATATGTGAACTAGAATGGTGAACATTGTATTTTACAAAATTCAGAGCGCATCAATTTTATTTTCTGTAAAAATACTACTGCGGATAAATTTTTCCCACTTGTCAAGTATATCAGCTACAAAATCAAGCTAATTAGATAACTAAGCTTTGAAAAGGAAAATAATAAAACGATAAAGTATAACAGAATGAAATAGAAATTCGGTTTTTTTTCAAACTACCAGAAAAATAACATCAATATACATGAAATGTTGGGGGGTGTTAGTGGGACGTAGATGGAATTAAAGCACGACTACGTTGCTGCGCGCTGATTGGCTAATTTCCTATCCAATCAGTGCCTGATCGATTTTCTTGGAGAACAGGCTAGAAAATTCTCGTGTTGTTAGCTGCATGCTGATTGGCTAAATCTAATTCAGTCGATCACGTGAATTTCTATTTAGAAGCTTCTCATCTGTAAACTATAAAGATACTAACGTTGTATCTATTTGGCTTTCGCCCTCGGCTTCGGATTCTTATTTCCGTTTAACCTTGCTACTTGGAATATAATCTTTTCCTGTTCCACCGTGTTTTTGATTCTTTGGAACTTGTCCAGTGTAGTGTGTGGTCAGAGAATACTATGCAATAGGAATTAGCTGGGAATTATTCTAAGCAAGCGTTATAACAGGGCGAAAAAAAAGACAAGAAAACACAATATACCATTTTCTATGCTGCTATTATTCGGTGTACGAAATGGAGTTGTACCAATAATTTGACTTGGAAGTAAAACATTTGGAGTTGCTAGAGTATTTGGTAAACGAGGCGTTGTACCAGAGAAATCAGATTCACCAACTAAAGGAGTATTTTCACCGCCTTTAAGTGGAGTTTGTACTTGTTGTAAAGCTAAGATATTTTGTGCTTCCTATTGATAAAATAAAGGAGAAATTTATGGTACGATCATACATTTATTTCCATAAATAAAATTCATAAAGATCGAAATATGAAATGATAAATAGTTTTAGGATTGCAATGGACAGAAAATGCGTGTGCGAGATCCACATTTTTTTCTTCTGATTAAGTATTGGTGTGGTAACTGGGACCGGTTCACATATGTGTTATATATTGTAGGTTGTTGATAATTAATTAACCGGTATGGTTCAGAATCGATCAGAATGACACAGATGCTTTTTTAATACTGTGGATACTGTTACCACTTTAGCTACTGTTGTAGTGAACGAGAACACAGGTGGGGCAACCGGATTGTATTTAACGAAAATTACAGAGTTACTCAGTAAAATTGGAAAACCATATCGTAAATCGTTAATTTGCAAAATATCAGTTCATCACATCGAACTGGACTGTTCCTGTTGCAAAACATCAACAATCCACTGTCACTATTCATGCGTTTCATATAAATTCCATTGTGTTCTAACTCTTTCTTTCTCTTGATGTTTCCCCATCTTCTGCTGCCAGACATTACGTTGACACTAACGTCATATACTACTTATAAGTAGCTCGCACCACAATAGTTCCTTGTTCCATATATGAAATCAAGAACTTACTGGCATCACAAACATTCAAACCCCAAAATTTCAAACACTATCACCTCCTTATTTCTGTAGTGCATCCCTTTGTTAGTTTCAAATTATTGCCAGAACTTATGCATTAAAAATTTACACAAACACTTACTCTAGTCACAGAATCTATCATAGCCATTGGAGTTCGTTGTAAATTTAATGCTGGAGTAGCAAAACCACCAGTAGGATATTCAGGTAACAAAGGATGTGTTGCAGAGCCCAATTCACCATCGGCATCTTCAATAGCCATTCTTACAGCATTTTCACCAGCTTGACCAACCTAATATTTTTTGCAGAATTCAGATAATTGAATAATAATAATAATAATAATAATAATAATAATAATAATAACAGCAAAAGAACAACAGATAATGGGAAAATAATCAAGTATTAATTCCGTTGGGAGAAGGAATAACCTGTAGTTGTCATATCACCGATTCGATTATCTCAGTCAGTCAGTCAGATGCAACGTAGAACTTCGTACGTAAGTACATCAGTTCATATCGCCATACCACATCAGCACAGAGATGTAATTATCAATTCAAACCCAATAGTAGAAGAGGTGTATTAAAGGTATTAGAAGTAATCGGAGAGGTTAGAATTAGAAGATATTATTCAAGAAGTATGATTTAATGAGAAAAGTTTAGAAAGACAAAACTAGAGTTGTTGAAGAATCCAGAAGATTAGGATTTGAGAGAACACAAAGAATAAATGCACCGACGCCATTGCGAACGATTGTGAGCCATGTCATTCAAGGTCTCTAACCATCGATTATTATCATCTCGCGGACCCCAAACAGGTAGTCGACAATTACCGACATGGCTCAGTCCACTCGTCAATGACTTCATGGATTTCTGCCATGTTTTGGTTTGACCGCCCCTAGCTTTCTTCCAACCTATTCCTACAATACAAAACAAGGCTTGACGAGGCAGTCGGTGGTTGGGCATACGCAACGCATGTCCCAACCACCTCAACTGATGAAGTTTCATTACTTCGTCTATTGATCTGCCATTCTTACCTAGCACCCGTGTCCTAATTACAGCGGTGCTCACTCGGGTGTCCCACGATATACGAGCGATGCTTCGAAGACACCTATGATCGAAAACCAGTAACCTACGAATATCTTCTACTCTCACTGGCCATGTTTCACAGCCATAAAGTAAGACGGAGCGAACTACTGCGCAGTACACTCGTCCCTTAGTCAACAAACGCATATTTTGCATTCGCCATAAGTGACGTAGGTTGGCAAAAGCCGATTGAGCCTTCTGTATGTGTGCTGAGATTTCATCGCACACCAAGCAATCAGCTCAATGAAACTCGCCAGATAAGTGAAGCGGTCTACACACTCAACTACTTCACTCCTTATCACTAGTTCAGGTGCCGACGCAACCCAATCTTGAAGCAACATTTTGCATTTCGAGGGGGAAAACCGCATCCCGAACATGCTTGCATTGTTACTTAGGGGATTCGATTATCTGTCGTTATCTGTCTTGTTTTCTTCTAATATCAGTTTAGTCAGCAGGCATGGTTCAATTACAAAGCATTACACTTCACTTTTTTTTATCTAAGTATTTTACTTTATGTTAAAAATCAAAAA